TTTTTTACGCTGAGGGTGGTGAAACACTGGCACAGGTTGCCCAGAGAGGTGGTGGATGCGCCATCCCTGGAAACCTTCAAGGTGAGGTTGGACGGGGCTCTGAGCAACCTGATGTAGTTGAAGATGTCCCTGCCCACAGCAGGGGGGTTGGACTAGATGACCTTTAGAGGTCCCTTCCAACCCAAACTATTCCATGATTCTATGATTCTACTTCTATGGGTGATGAACTACCACAGTCCAGTTTCTTATGGATTTGCATCTTTTGTCCAAGAAATTGCAGCTCATTCATCCTATTTTCTTTGTGTTCATGATGATACCCTTATAAGAAAAGGGGAGACCCCAATAGCGCATCTAGCTCAGGGCACCACACGTGATAACTGGCTGTGCTGGCTGCTGCCAAACAGAATGTGTCAGAACTAAGTCTTCCCTGATTTCTCTTTTGTTTGCGAAGGAAATAAAACTAGTTTATCTCCTCTGAAAATCAATTTTATCATCTATGAGTCTTTATTCCTCTTTTGAATTTGAAACTGTCCCACAGAGAACAAAGCTTTGCTCCTTCAGAACTTCAGGCTAAAAAGCTGATTATTTCAAATACAAGAAAGTAACGTTCAGGTTTGCTTTCCTTGACCAAGAAAGATTTTCTAATTTAACAAAACAACAGAAAATACTGCAAAATATTCTTACCTATTTTCTTATTTCGTTCTTCCCCCCGACTGTGCGCAATAATTGGAGAATATATGAAGGGGCTTTTGGTTGACACATTCTGGCCAAGTAGACTTTTCATTTTGTGAGGTCGGAGACTGGTTGGGAGGTTCAAGAGCTTCACAGATCTGTTGAGTAAAAATAATTTTATAGATGGTTGTGTTAAAAATGAACTGATAAATGCTAAATGACACTCTGAGTAGGTACTGATTAAAATACCTGAAATGGAAAATGTGAAGTAAACACCTACAGTACAAAAGAAAAGAATACCAACCCAAGGAAACTAAAGGCAAAGTTTCAGAAAGCTCTCAGAAAACAAATACCAAAGGAAAAACATCTTCTGTAGAAACCAACAAAACCAAAACTAGCCAGATCAGTGATCTGAAATCCAGCCATTAATTTCCAAGTTAAGTGCAAACTGAACAGCAGATACACCACAAGTCCAGGGCAGAAAGCAACCAAAAGTTTAACTTAAACCCAAACTAGAAGCCAGACAACATTTCTCTGGACAACGTAATACAAATAAAGAACTTCTCCAAGGTGAATAAAATAGATTTTAAAATAGTTAAAATGCACAGAGTTGCTTCTGGAAGGAAGGAAACGTCCCAGAAATTTGAGTGGGTTTGTTGGAACGACCAGAAAGCAATTACAAATAGAAAACAAATGATTTATTAGGCTATATCCCCGTTTGACCCAAAACCCTACAATACCATACAGGGAAATCACTGGCCTTCTAATGCTGATGGGAAATTAAGGACTAAATATTGGGCATAAAACAAGCACTAAATTAGTGGATATTCAGTAAAAGTAGCAGCATTTTAAAAGCCTGTAAGACTCCTAGTTACTTAAGAGTCAGGAAGGAGCGAGGAAAGGAAAAACAAAAGGTGAATAAAGGCACCATTCAATATCATAGCTATTTTGCTAGTCTATTAAGCTCGAAGTATTTGTGCTTTTAATTAAGAACGTCATCAAGAGACAAGAATCTCCCCTTTACAATGTCTCATGGATTAAATCTCCAACTTTTTTAAAATTTGGTTTTCAAGTAAAAAAAAAAAATTCCTATAGAATAAAACTACAGTTTTTGCTAATTGCTAGAGGCATCCCACCACACTGAGGTAGACAAGCAAGAATGAAATAAAATGCTCACAAAACTTTCCAGCAGCAAACTTTTAAAAGATACTTAAAGATATAGTAAGCATATACCAAGACATGAACAACAACAGAGCCTAGCTAAAACCCTAGGAGACTTCTAAAATCAATTAAGAGGCCAAGTGCAAGAATGCTAGAAAACCCCAACTTGTTCAAAGATTAACTCCTTTCTTCCCCCCTTTCCCACATCCACCTCCCACAGTAAAACTTACCTCACTGGAATTCTTTGATAAATAAAATTTGCCATAATAAAGCAAAGAGATTATAAATGCTACAGTACGTGATTAAGTTGTTATGTTTTATGAAGTGCTTCAAATACTATGATGAGAGCACTGGAGCACCAAGAAAGAAACCTGCCTTCCTCAGCTGTAAAGGTCATAGAAACAACTTAAAATCAAGTGTCTTCACTTTGAAAAGCAGGTAAGTATTCTTTTACATGTTGAAACAGTTTTGCATCATTTACAGGATATAACTGAAGTAATTCACTTGCCAAAGTTACAGAAGTTTATTTAATTTCAAAACAATAAACTATTACTGAGAACATGAAAATAATGTAAGTGTGGGAAAATAATGGAAGATTGGCTAGTAGGATTGTAAACACGCTCAAGTGACTTGCAGCTGGGGTGTCAAAAACCACATATATCATACTAATTGTTGTTTGGCCTTGTGTGTTGGACAAGTAGAACATCTGTGTTTAGATAACATAGGCCTGTGATAGACTTGGAGGCACCCTATCGAACATGCTTGAGATTCCTGCCCCGCTGTGGGAAAGATCAAAGCACCGCAGTAAACTACGCCTGCGTGAATCCTTGATAAACGGGTGAAAACAGCAGGTTCGTTGACCCTCTAGCACAGACCGAGCTCCACAGTGCCTGCGTTCCCGCTTGTGTGCCTCTGCCCGGGTGCTGCTTTGGGGATCCCCTGGTTGGCGAGGTAACAAAAATAAGTTTACCCTTTGCATTTCATCTGTGGTTTTGTGGTTGTTCCTGCACCCTGCCTGTGCCGGCTCACACATTTGGCATAGTCGGCAGGATTCAGGAACAGCCATGCCAGAGCTGGCAAAAAAGTCAGAGACTGGGGACGCCACGACGGTGACTCCCCATATTCCGGGATGGCCCAGTACTGAGCGCTGGACCCCTGTGGCCACTTTCCTGGCTACATGGGCTCTGCCAGAAGCATGGCCTGAAACAGATGATGGGGCGGTGGTCACCCCCAAGACAACTGAAACGGCTATGCGTGGATTGCCATGGAAAGCGGCATCGGATTCTTCTTGCAAGTTAGTGAGGAGATTGGGATGGTTATTAGTTACCAGTCTTAGAGCTCTTGACCCTGAAGTTGTTGCATTACAGAGTACAATGAGAGAATTGGAAAAGGAAGTTGGGATTTTGCAAGATGCAAAGGTGATCACACAAGAAGTAACTACTACTTAAGCAGAGCAGTGCCATGGGCTGCAAGATACTGTAGAACAAATGATAGGGTGTATCGCTAATAAATGGCAGAGGGGGGGAGTCAGCAAGCGGCCGTGTGGTGCTTAGTTGACGGCTGGGGTTAAGCCATGACAGTCCTTTTTGGCGCCCAGTGTGGGGCATGAAGGGTTCAAGATAACAACAGGTTTGACTGGAATGTGCTAGATCGAATTTGTAGCTGTTAGTGCTGTTTAGCTGTTAATCAGCAGGCTTCTGTTCTTGCCATGGGGCTTGGGCTTGCTTGCCTTACTGTATATTAGAGTCTAGTGCTCGTTAGTGGCTGCTTTTTGCTTTCACTGCTTGTTATACTGCTTATCATCTTACTCTGCCGTGCCTGGGAACATTTTGATAACAGCAATGGCTCATGCGTGGATTATGGAATTCAATCTGGACAGGGTAGCAGTAACGAGAAGTATCAAAATGCAGCTTTTGAGAGGAGCGCCTGCCTCACTAAAACCCTTGATTACACCAGCAGTCACAAATGCTACTGGTAATGTAGGTGCCCTAGCAAATACCTTGAAGGAAAATGGAGCTGTAACTTTGGGACCGTCTGTGTGGGTAGTGAATAAAGGAAAGCCGGTAAAACCGAAAGGAGTTACATTACGGGTAACGAGGAAACAAATGCAGAATGATCTTGTACAAGCCAGTGTCCCACGATCAGAAATAAATGGGATTACAACATCAGAAAAGTTTCGCTGATGGCAAATGTCCACCCCCACCTGCCACCTCAAGGCAAGGCACTACCTGGCAAATGCCAAAACAGCAGAAATGAAGGTTTGGCAGGTCCCCCAAAACTGCCGCCACCCTAGCCTCTTACCTTGAGGGGGACCAATGCCCCTGTGTTCCTTTAACTACAGAGTGGCAGCCTGGGAGATTTTACATGTGTTAGCTCTGGTGGATACTGGAGCTGAGGTTACTGTATTACATAGTAATATTGATAATAAAGAAGCCACATCACAGATCTCTGGATTGGGGGGAAATCTGACGCCTGCCCTCCGAGCTAAGGCTACTTTAACAATAGGAAATGCCACTCCGTTTACCACGACAGTGTTAATTGCCCCAGCTAAAGAATATATCTTGGGTATTGATGTGTTGGCAGGACGAACAGTTGAAACGTTAAATGGTCACTTCTGCTTCGGGACTTCACAAGTGGGATTTGCCATTTGATCTATAACCATCTTGCGTGGATTGCTTCGGGACTTCGTAAGAGGGATTTACTATTTGTTCTATAACTGTCTTGCATGGATTCCCAAAGTGGGATCCTGTTGTGCTGCCCGTGCCTGCTAAGGTAGTAACTGTAAAACAATACCGTATTCTGGGGGGGAGGAGGAAATTACTCAAATCATTCAGGCACTTCAACAAGTGGGAAATCATTAAGGAAAACATGACTGCTTTTAATAATCCTATTTGGCCTGTTTGAAAACCAGATGGTACTTGGAGAGTGACTGTAGATTATAGAGAATGGAATACAAGCCACCCCCCTACTTGCAGTTATGGTACCAGACATGGTTACTACTTTTTCTTTCTATTAAAAATATCGGCAAAAAACTTACAACCCTGGAAGGTGGTGATAGTCTTGCTAATGCTTTCGTTTCTGTAGCCATTACATATTTATAAAGCATGTCCACATAATTTTACTATTTGTACGCAGCTACATTTAAGGGCATTATATAGGCCACAGGGAAAGATAAAACAGGGTCAGTGGGCCTTGAATACCTGGCAGGTTGATTACATGGGCCTCCTGCCCCTATCGAGGGGGTGGCAATATGTATTCACTGCTGTGGATACAGTGTCAGGACTGGTTTTTGCTAAACCCACCAAATATGCTAATCAACATAACACAACTGAAGCATTAGAACAACTCATTCATCTATACGGACCTCCTCACCAAATACAAAGTGACGAAGGAACACACTTTATTGGACATAATGTCCAAGATTGGGCTCAAGGGCTAGGGATAGATTGGATATTCCACATTGCCTACCATCCCCAAGCCAATACCTTGATTGAAAGAATGAATGGGATGTTGAAGCAACAATTAAAAAAGCTAACCAGTACTAAAAAATTTACAGCACTGGAGTTCACATCTTACTAAAGCAGTTTTTGTTAAATAGCCGGAATATTCATAATCAAACACCCTATGATCGTATTGCAACACCTCCAGTACAAGACATGGTGAGGACTGAAATTCTTCCAGATGGTATCTCTCCCAAAATATTAACTAGAGGGGAAATGGAATTGTTTACACTGACGGATTGTGTGGTGGGACCACGACCTAGTAGTCTAGACGTGAAGGTTCATGTAATAACCCCTGAGAATGCTGTATGGTTCTGTACCCCAACTTCTCTTATTTTACATCCTCTATTGATATCAGATTCTCGAGTTCTTGTATTTCAGGTATCTTCGACGAATACCTGTGCCTTATCTAGGGACCTTATCTAGAGGCATTGGAACAGTGTTATTGGTGTCGCAAACCCAACATCGAATTGAAGTTCAATCTGAAAAAGCACAAG